CCCTCCCCCCTTCCCCCTCAGAAGCAGCGCAGCAAAATGGCGCGCGAGCAGCACCCGGAGACACACCCCGTGAGGAAGAAATTCCGACCAGCCCTTTCACCTGTGCCCGTGCCCCATCACCCAGCAGGTCCAGAATTTCCACTCTCTAGCCCTGCTGCCTCTGGTGCTGCCTTTCTGCCTGCTGCTGCCACCTCCTCTGCTGCTGTTACTTCTCACTGCAAAATCAACAGTGTACACTTAAGAACACACAAGAAAGAGTGTACTATAAAGGACATACTTAGAAAGTGTGTATTTATCATAGTAGACACACTGAAGTGTTTCGTATATAATGTCTCTTACATTATATAATGTACACACAAATATAATCGTGTTTTAAAGAGCAAAGTACACGCTTTATAAGTTTGTGCTTGCAGGTACACTCTTCCTTGTATGAACTTGGTACAGTGTACCCATGGGTTTGCAGTCCACTTACTACTACTTTGTTCCTGATGGGATAGCATAGCTCTGGCTATGAACCTACAGAATAGCGACGAAATGACATCAAGTGAATTGAGAGTAAAACAATGAAGAATGAAAAAGAAAGACAGAGGAGAGGTGGTGGGTGGTGGAAAAATTGCGAGGTAAAAGGGGTGGCATCCTACACAACCCCATCGACGAGGACATCGCAAACAAGCGCGAGGCAGGGAGTATTTCACCGGCAGCGTGCGCGGGTCCACTAGCCCCCTCTCCCCCTTCCAAAACGAGTTTTCCTCGTTTGCTGTTGTGTGTGTGTCTGTAGGTGTGTGCGGGTGTAACCTCTCCCAGCATATACCCTCACATACACGCACTTGTACCACACCGTTTACTGACACGGCAGACTGAACCATATGCCAATTTTGCCAAATTAAAGCTGCAAAGGCGGGCGATGAACTCTCTTCACCTCCCCCCCCCCCTCTCCCCTTTCCCACTGCACAGCCCTTCTATACCTTGGCTCCGGGCCGCTGACACGGCGAATTGGGCCCTGCAGGCCGAGAGTGCAAGGGTTGAGAGAGAAAGAGCGAGAGAGAGAGAGAGAGAGAGAGAGGGGGGGGGGGGGGCAGCTTTCCACCGAGACGAGAGTGAGATAGATGTAGGGCTGTGCGATAAGAGTAAGAAATGAAAAGGAAACTGAGATGAGGGGTTGAGACAGAGAGGAGCGAGCCTGGACTACACTAGACATGAAAGCCCTCCAAGTAGGAGTTGCGGAGCGGGGCGGTGCGCACGTCCAAAAGTCATCAAAACAAAGGCTCTGAAATGGAAACGCAACGCGGAAACTACTGTTTGTTCGGAGAAATAAGTAGTGGTGGTTTGTTGTTGTAGTGCAGGCCGCGATGGTCCGCTAAGCGGCGCCCACTCCACAGCCGCCCCGCCTCCTCGCCCTCGGGCCGTTGCCCGCTGACAAACCTATTAGGAGGGGGGCCTCGCGCGAGGCTAGGAGCAGGGGCGCCAAACTCTCGGATCCTAACTTAAGTTGTTGCAGTAAGAAGTTGAGGAACGGGGGGCCGCAGCCCGGCCGGCCCGCCCTCAGGGGTGATTGGAACTAGCGGGGGAAAAGAGCGAAAAAAGGACTGGGAGGGGACGGGCCAGGAGGGGCCGTAGTGTGGGCGACGCGGGGTGTGGGAGGGTGCCTGCCCGAGGCTGGCTGACGCCCCCAGTCTCGGGGGCCACGGTCGGACGGCGGGCGGAAAGCGACGTTTGACAATGTTCCCGCCCCGTTTGGAGATCGAGACTCGACGAGCGGGAGCGAGTGGGACAGGCGACAACGAGCGGGCAGCGAACGAGCGGGCAGCAGCTCCGAGTGAGCAGCAACGAGCAGCATTCGGGCGCCGATTCCGGTCTCTGCTCAAAGCTGACCGGCGGCGCGGCACTGCGACGTCCCCCTATCTCTGATTCCCCCACGCCCACTCCCCCGCTCCCGTCGGTCTCGCCGTCTCTTAATACTCCTTTTCTTCCCCTCTCTCCCCACGTGGCTCTCTCAGCCCTCCAGCAGGAGACCCTTTCTCTGTCACTCCTGTCCGCGTTTTCCAGCCTGAATATTCAATTAGCTGTACGGCGAGGGCCACGCCAGGCCGCTCGGGGCCTCAGCATGCCCCCCTCGGGGGCTAAAGGGTTCGCTCGTCTAGGCTGTCCAGCCCGAGCCTCGCCAACTCCTGCCACCCTCCCTCCGGCCCTCCAGGCCTCAGTCGACCTGAGCCGAGACGGACAGCTGAGGGCAAGACGGCTCGACCAGCGAGCGGCACCCCTCTGGGCAACTGAATAGGTGGTGAGGGTACCTATAGGGCACCTGCTGGGTGTATAAGGGTACTTAAAGGGTAGCTAAAGAGAGGGTACCTACAGGGTACTGGTGGGGAATGATACGGAGACCACAGAGGAACGAAAGCGAAACCATAGTGAGACCATCGAGGAAAACCATAGAGGACGCATGGGGGTATACCGACCGAGGTGGTATAACCAGGGGGGTTAGGTAGGGGTACTCACCAAAAACGATCATCTTCTTGATCATGAAGTCCTCGTTCTTGAACGTGGACACGGAGCACTTCCACTCGCCCGACAGGTCGGTCGTGGCGTTGAGGATGCGCAGCGCGCGGTGCTCCATGGCGGCGTGCGAGGTGGCCGTGTAGTTCATGTCGAGGCGGCCGCGCAGCAGGTCCAGGTCCTGCGGCTTCTGCGTCGGGATCCACTGGTAGACGGGCGCGGGCCGCGAGTTGAAGTACCACTTGATGACGAGGCCCGAGGTGGGCTGCGCCTCGTCCGGCAGCAGCGAGTACTCGCAGTCCAGGATGGTGCCCGACGAGCCGTTCTGCACGGTGGAGGGGACCTTGAGGTTGGTGATGGTCACGCCGGGCGCGCCTGCGGGCAAGGACAAAGACATACACCATCAGCCTGGATCAACAAGGTGACGACGACGACGGCGACGGCGACGACGACTCGCAGGTGGGCGACAAGCGGAGGCGGTGCGCGGGGGCTCTAATCGCATTCCAAATGTAATCTAACTTTCACTTGTTCCGTCGAGGGCGGGGCGGGGCAGGCGGGCGGGTGGTGCTCTGGCAAGATGAGGGGTGAGAAAAAGTCTTGTCGACAAGAGAGCAAGTGCACCCCCCCCCCTCCTTTCCAGCCAGCCGTCCGTTCACTCTACCACCGCTGCAAGAAGCCTCAAAAAAAATATTTTAAAAAAAAAAGAATGAAATGATTTACGGTCGAGGTTTTTACTTTTTTTTCGAACCAACCACCCCCAAAAAAGTAATTCGAAGAAAACAATTAAGATATCGTCCCTTTACTTCCTAGCTTTCAAAGATATTGTTTAACATAATTCATTAGGTTTTTTGAGGTGTATTTTTTCACACAACGAAGAAAAGGGGGAGCTTTCAGACTGTGAGGAAGACGTAGGGAGAGGGGGTGGTGCCGTGGAAGGGGCACGGGGAGAGAGAGACAGAGAGACAGAGAGAGAGAGAGAGAGAGAGAGAGGGGTCAGGAGAATGGCTCGGCCTCCCACCGGCCTCAGCAGAGCACCACCACGTCCCACTGCGGAACAAGCTGCCGCTGAATGGCTCAATGATACTTCCTTTGTGTCGGCGCGGCCCCGCCCGCCCCGCCCGACAAAGCAGCAGACCTATACACCACCAGCTGCAGAGGTGCCGCTCAAGTACAAAGCACTATCCACTGCTGCACAGGCCGACCCGCCACCCACTTCACAGCGCGACGTAATTCTGCCCCCCGTGCCGGGCGAGGCGGGGCGGGGCAAGGGCGGCAGCGGAGCCCCGGAAACGAATACTGCATAGCGCTCCAGCGAGCAGCCGCCCCGCAAACTGAGAGCAGCGCCGCCCGAGCGCGCGATGGGTCTCGAAAACACCAGCCTTTCCATGGGGAAATTCGCAATCTCATTAAACAGTGGCCGCGTCCAAAAAATGTATGAACTCTCACTTTGCAAATTAATACCCCTGCTTATTTCCAATTTTCACTCTTAATTGCACTAGGGTTTGTTTTTCTAAAATTGTATTTTTCCTTAAGGTTCTCCCCCGAGCGTCGGCATAGAGGCACCTCTTCGATCCGAGCTTGGGCGGCTCGGAGAGAGCGCGCCGGGGAGAGACAGATACATCCTCTTTAAAGCAGAGCCGCCGGGACTCACTGCAGTTCAAACTACCCGCGCCTCTCCACGAGTACCGCACTCTCCTTTCTGCTGCTGCTTCTTCAAGAGTATGTCTCCGCGGAGTATACATCGCTCACCAAATGAGAGAAAACAAAACAGAATTATCATCAGTGACAAAGAAGTGGAAAAAAATCCGAAAAGCCCACATTATTCAATGTGGTCTAAAAAGGCTTCACGTGCGCATACCAGGCCTAAAATAAGAATTCTGTCAATTCCGTTGTGTACAGATCTGATTGCTGAAATGATCTAGAAATTGCCTTGCTCGGTGAACATAGGCGATACATTTAACTTAGGACAGACATACACGGCACGAGTACTGGCCATGGAATTACAAGTGTCAGGGGGACAAAGTATAATTGCCCCTCAACTCACAAAATACACTCCCCTTCTTGAATGTCAAAATTGTCATACAAGCACCTGCCTTTTTTTGAAAAGGAGTAAAAGGCTGATGATTGATCCAGAAATCTGAGTAGTTTGTTGCTGGGTTCAATATTTAAGTAATAATTAGCACGATGACATTCCTTCGATTTGTTCCGCCTTTGCCCCGCGCCGCCAACCTCCGGTCGGGCCCCCGTGCCCCGCCCCCGACCCGGACCTTTTTTTTTGTGCGTAAGGACTAGCCCCCCGCCCCCGCCCCCTCGCCTGTGTGCACGACCAAGGCTGGAGGGGAAGTGCGGTGGGCTCGTGTGTGAGGCTGGCCACTTCCCCTCCAGCCTTGGTGTGCACGACAAAATCACGACACGCACAGACACCAAAGTCTCCGCTTAAGGCTTCGCGTTTTGCGCTTTAGCGCACGCGAAGCCTAATAATAAAACTGGGGTGGAAAGAGAACCGCTCAGACAAATTGTTTTAGGACTGTGCCTGGCCGCCGCCGCCGCTGTTGACCTAGACGAGCGGAGCGGGGAATGGCGAAAAAAGTAAAGCAAATGGACACGGGACGGAGCCTGCAGGACAGTTGATGACGTAAGCCACTCCCATGGCAACGGCTGGCCGTTATGTCGGTGGGGGAGGATGGGGGGGGGGGGGGCACTGTACCCCATGTGGCCACGGAGGAGCCCCATTCCCGCGAGTGCAGCTGGGCGCGGGGCCGAGCGGGGGGAGGGGGAGGGCGGTACACGAAGACGGCGTCGTCGTCGTTGCGAAGGCCGAAGCACAGGCGGCAGCCACAGCGGCGAAGAGCATCGCGGATGTTGGACCGTAGCATCACCCAGAAACCACGCGGACTTATTCAGGGGGAATACAAATATTATGGGGTCTCAAAGGGCGGTCAGTGACACCATGATATTTGTACCCTGCTGGGGTAGAAGTAAATGACTCCAAAAACCGCCCCGGTCCTTTTGGGACCCGATAATATTTGTACTCTCCCTGTAACAGCCCCCATAGGCCGAGAAAATGTCGACACGTTGCCCGGCTCGCTTCACCACTACCGCGATAATATTTTCACTCTCGACTGCGCACCTTTCACTTCCAACAGTAGTACCCGCTACCCTGTACGCGCACACGACGCCGCACACGAGCACACCGCACCTGTCCGAATCGAGTTGTCGCGCCGCTGTCGTTTGGAAGCCCCTCACAGTGCTGACTCGGCCGGGTCGGGCGGGCGGGAGGGGCGCAGGGACACATAATATCAACGGCACGCTGACGAGGTGTGAAGTTTCACGCGCGGCTGACAGGTCTCTCTCTCTCTCTTCACCCCCTCTCCCTCAAACGTCCCCGGCCCGGCCCCCTGGGTGACGCGCGACGCCACGGACGAGAAAGATGCAAATCGCAGCGAATTTCCACGACAGCAGCAGAGAGCGCAGCGTGCCTGGCGAGTGGAGGGCACGACCCTGGCCTGGAGCACCGCGGGGAGGTAACCGACCGACCGACAACATTCCGGGCACGTCCGCGAAAACATTCGCCATTTTCAGCGTTTTAACAGCAGCCGACTTGCTGGTGTGCCGTGCTGTGCTGCTTTCTGCCTCTCTCCCCGTCCTTGTCTAGCATATTAAACTAGGGGCCCGTGCGTAGTCAATGTGCACGGGGTAGCTGAGCGAAGTGGGTTTAAGTTTGCCATTGTCTCAGTTGGTTTTTTATTTTACGT